GTGTGTGTGTGTGTGTGTGTGTGTGTGTGTGTGTGTGTGTGTGTGTGCGTGCCCACGCTGAGGTGATGGCCCTGTAGCGCTCCAGTCCTGCTGTGTCCCAGATCTGGGCCTTGATGGTGAAGTTGTTCAGCTGAACGGTTCGCGTGCTGAACTCCACTCCGATGGTGGTGCGGCTGTCGTGGTTGAATTCATTCTTGGTGAAGCGGGACAGAAGGTTGCTCTTCCCCACGCCGGACTCCCCTATCAGAACCACTACAGAGACCCAGATGGGTTTTAACACATCGCAGGTGCATCTCAAAAGACTGGAATATTGTAGAAAAGTTCATTTTTTGTTAATAATCCCAGAAACTCATATAGATTCATTACACAGTGAAATATTTCAAGCCTTTTATTTCTTGTAATTTTGATGATTATGGTTTACAGATAATGGAAAAAATAAAATTCAGTCTCAGAAAATCTGAATATTGTGAAGAGGCTCAGTGGTCCAATATCGTCTTTTCAGAAGAAAGTAAATTCAGTATTTCATTTGTAAATTAAGGCCCCAGAGTCTGGAGGAAGAGTGAGCCCAGAATCCACATTGCTTGAAGTCCATTGTGAAGTCATGTCCTCTGCTGGTGTTGGTCCACTGTGTCCACAGCATCCATCAGGACATTTTAGAGACTTCCTGCTTCTTCTGCTGAAGCTTTATGATGATGCTGATTTCATTTTCCAGCAGGACTTGGCTCCTGTCCACACCATCAAAGGTACCAAACACTGGCTATGTAATGTTCAAATTTTATGACTGAATTTTGGTTTTGCACCATCTGTAAGCCATAATCATCAAAACTCCAAAAAATAAAGGCTTGAAATATTTCACTCTGTGTGTAATGAATCTGTAATGAGCTTCACTTTCTGAACGATTAAACTTTTTCATGACATTCTAATTGTTTGTAGATGCACCTATACATTCTGAATGAACTCTTTTAAGGACGAATCAATTATCAACACGCCTATTAACTGAAATGAATCACTTTTCTGTCACTCAAATACCACGCACGATGACATCACACCAACGTGGCAGGTCTGCAGAGGCCGGCTGTACTTTGGTATAATAGGATTGCAAAATCACAGCAGCTTTGGGAAATAAAATAGTGACACAAAAGCGCATCGGGATCTTGTAGCGAAACAGGAAATGCAAGAACTTGTGGCTCTCCAGCAGGTCAAAGGTCAAACTTTACAGCCAACCTCACAGGAAGCAATCACTTCCTTATTTTCCTGCTCGCTGGTTTTTCTTGGAAATTGCAACCTGCTGCATCAACACCTTCAGAGTGTACACATAAACGACTTTATCTCTTTCAAAGCTCAAGTAAACATGACTCACCTTTAAAGACAAAATTGTACGACTCATCAGACCCCATGCTGCATTCAGTGCCGATGGGTCCCTGCTTCACTTAGTAAATATCCTGAAGCCACTTTCGAAGTCTGGAGTTTTCGAACAGAATAAGAACGCAAATAGAGCCTCGCCCCTCCAGTACAGAGTAAAGGTGAAAGAAGAGAGACAAACTTAAGATTTTCTTCTTTTTCTGTGGATGTGTAGCTCCTGACTGAAGACAACCGAAGGAGTAGCAGAGTTCCTGATTGTCCATCAGCTGACGCCCAAAGGAGGGTTGAGGGAAGGAGAGCAGGTGAAACAGGTAGAGCGACTCGCAGGGACAGACTCCACCCTCTGCCACGCTCTTTTCGCTCAGGGAGTCATTTGTATAACAATAAACCTCACCCATCAGGTGGATATGTGCACCAGAACACGCTGCCCTTTCAGCACTGCTCTTAGTTTACAGGCCTGCGGAGAGGCTGCTTGAACCGATCGTTTTTTAGATTTTATTTTTACCATCAAGAGTGCAGGAAAACTATGAAAGTCAGCAAACTCACAAGTTAGGTTTGTATGAAACAATTTAAAGAGATGTTTAGGCTTTGGATGCAATACTCAGCCGTCTTCTAACAAGGTTAAGTCAGGTCCTCTGATCAAACTGGTTGATCCACTGTAAGGTGCTATTTACAGTGGTGCTGGGAAGTTTGTGAACTCTTGAGAATTGTATACATTTCTGCAGAAATGTGACCTTAAACATCATTTGATTTTTACACACGTCCTAGAAGAAGATGAAGAGAACCCAGTTAAACAAATGAGACAAAAATATTTTGATCCAGTAGAACATATTTGTGAGTGTAAAGTATGTAAACCTCTAGGATTAGCAGGTAATTGGAAGGTGAAATAAGAGTCCGGTGTTTTCAATCAATGGGATGATGATCAGGTGTGAGTGGGCACCCAGTTTGATTTAAAGAACAGGGATCGATCACAGTCTGCTCTTCACAACATGTTTGTGGAAGTGAATCATGGCACGAACAAAGGAGATTTCTGAGGAGCTCAGAAAAAGAGTTGTTGATGCTCATCAGGCTGGAAAAGGTTACACACCATCTGTAAAGAGTTTGGACTCCACCAATCCACAGTCAGACTGATTATGTACAAATGGAGGAAATTCAAGACCATTGTTACCCTCCCCAGGAGTGGTGGACCAACAAAGATCACTCCAAGAGCAAGACGTGGAATAATCTGAGAGGTCACGAAGGACTCCAGAGTAACTTCTAACAGCTGAAGGCCTCTCTCACATTAATGTTCATGAATCCACCATGAGGAGAACACTGGACAACAGTGGTGTTCATGGCAGGGTTGAAGGAGAAAGACACTGTTCTCCAAAAAGAACATGGCTGCTCGTCTGCAGTTTGATAAATATCATGTGGACAAGCCAGAAGACTGTTGGAAGAATGTTTTGTGGACGGATGAGACCAAAATAGAACTTTTTGGTTTAAATGAAAAGAGTTATGTTTGGAGAAAGGAAAACTCTGCGTTCCTGCAAGAACCTTATCCCATCTATGAAACATGGGGGCGGTGATATGGTTTGGGCCTGTTTTGCTGCATCTGGACCAGGACGGCTCCTCATCATTGATGGAAAAATGAATTCTGAATTATATTAGAGAAATCTAAAGGAAAATGTCAGTACATCTGTCCATGAACTGAATCTCAAGAGAAGGTGGGTCGTGCAACGAGACAATGACCCTCAGCAAACAAGTGGTTCTACCAAAGAAAGGTTCAAGAAGAAAAAGCTCATGCTTTGGAATGACCAAGTCAAAGACCTGACCTTAATCCAATCCAGATGTTGTGGAAGGACCTGAAGCAGCAGTTAATGTGAAGAAACCACCAACATCCAGAGTTGAAACTGTTCTGTACAGAGGAACGGGCTAATATTCCTCCAAGACAGTGTGCAGGGCTGATCAACAGCTACTTAGCACTTAGTTCCAGTTATTGCTGCACCGGGGGGGTCACATACTTTTGCCACTCACACACTTGGAATATTGGATCATTTGCCTCAATAAATAAACTGGTTCTCTTTATCTACTTTTAGGACTTTTGTGAAAATCTGATGTTTTAAGTCACACTTATGCAGAAATATAGAAAATTCTAAAGTGTTCGCAAACATTCAAGAACCGCTGTACAAGACTGAGTTTGTTGCAGGGCCTCAGACTGAAGAAGTCTTTTGGATACAGATGAAACGTTTCAACAAAGAAGAATCTGTCCAGAGGACTTGACTTAACTGTGTTAGATTTTTCTACCTGGATTAATGAGCATGCATCAGGACTTAACCTTATTCTGGGCTTAGTTAATAAAAACATGAGTAAGACCCCAAAAAAGTTCAATCTGGTCCTCTAGACATTCCAAAAAAAAAAAAAAAAAAAGCAAAACAAATATAGAAACGTTTCGTCTCTCATCCAAGAGACTTCCTCAGTCTGAGGTGCTGTTTTCAGCTCAGTCTCTTAAATAGCACCTTCTCAGAGTGGATCAACCAGTTTGCTGCTGACAACCAAAACCAGCTGATCACATGCTCAAGAAGGACCATCAGCCTAACAATGGGTCATTAACACACTGATGGCTGTTTACTGTTCACAGAGGGCTGAGTGATACTAGCAATCACAGCATTGTAAGAGTTGAACCCGGAGGCCTCCACCCCTGTTTAATGATGGACGATTTCTTTTCACAAAGATGGCCTCCTTTACTCCTCTCTCAAACCATCGTTCCTCTCTGTCCAGGATGTGAACATCTTCATCCTTGAAAGAGTGACCGCTGGCCTGGAGATGAGTGTAGACCGCAGAATCCTGGCCTGATGATGTTGATCTTCTGTGCTGGGCCATCCTTTTGGCCAGTGGCTGTTTAGTTTCCCCGATGTAAGACTGATCACAGCCCTCCTGACACTGAACAGCACACAACATTACTCTGTTTGTGCCGGGGGACTGGGTCTTTGGGATGAACCAGTCTTTGCCGTAATATATTTTGGGGTTTAAAAGCCACTGGGACGTTATGTTTAGAAAATAAACAACTCAGTTTCTCTGATACTCCCTCAACATACGGAATGACCACTGGTCTGGGTCTGGGTTCCTCCTTTTCACCTGATGGCTGACTGGAGTCCTGTTTGGGTTTCTTCTCTGCTTTCAGGAAGGCCCAGTCAGGATATCCACATTGCTCTAGAGCCCGTTTTGTGCAGGATTTCTCCTTCTGCCTGGCTCCTGAGCTAGTGGGGATGCTGTCTGCTCTGTGATACAGAGTCCTGATGACTCCTAACTTGTGCTCCAAAGGGTGATGGGAGTCAAACTGCAAATACTGGTCTGTGTGGGTGGGTTTGCGGTACACCTCAGTTTGCAATTGTCCTCTATCTGAGACTGAGACCTCACAGTCCAAGAAAGCCAACTTGCCATTTTTTACATCTTCTGTAAGACTGTTTCAAAGATTTAATAATTACCCATTTTCATGCAAATTTGCATTTTAATACCAAGTACAGACTGAACAAAGACAATACTTCAGATATCCAACATTTTTCATCTGGACAGTTTCTTTTTTTGTGCTGAAACTGTTGGGGGGAAGAATCAGTTTTGTTGTGTTTCCTTGACTGATGAAGCCTTCTGGATCGAAGGTGAAACGTTTCAGCACATAAAAGAAACTGTCCAGATGACCTGACTGAAAAATGTTGGATTGTATACCTGGATTATTGAGCATGGACTTTGTTGTTTAATACTTCAAATATTTCAAAGTGTGGTTCTGTGAAAAGGTTTTGAACAATTAATATCTTACCTGTTGTAGATAGCCCTTTGAACGACCTGTTTGGAGAGATGGTTTATTTTTGACCAGACTGATGAGCCAACAACTAGCCCAAATGACAAACATGAAAGTGGATCGTTGATGTCTTAAAACAACTCCAAACTAAACAATTTCATATGCGATGCTAAACTAATGGCAATGTTTAGGTTTCTTCTAAAACTTTTAAATTACGGATGTTTTAAGATGGCAGGAATCCTTTTTTTTTTCTTGGCCCTACTCAGACTAAACATCAGTTCATCAGCCCAGTGAGAATCAAACTATACCCTCAAACTGGAGCCGTTTCAAGAGCCATCTAAAGCAGGTAAGATGTTAACTGTTCAGAAACTTTTCAGGGACGTACTTTAAAAGATTTGAACCATCACTTTAAAGCTAGGTGTTAAAATTTGGTTGAAACAGCGATTTGTTTCCGTCTAAAAACTATTTTTGCATAATAGATTGATCATATGAGCATATGCTAAATTTGAGTTTGTTTTAAATACATTTTAACATCTGCATTTTCTGTTTTCAATTAAAGACCAGTTCTTTTTTTAAACATTGAAAAGAAAATGTCTTTCTAACAAAGCAAAACAAAAAAAGCAGGACTGTTAAAACTCCTGTAATGAAGTGACACCAGTGTAGCTGTTTTTGACCATGATTTATTATTACTTCTTTTTTTAGTACAGTACTGTTAAAAGTTAGTTCCAACATTTTCAACTGGGTGGTGGGTTTTTGTTTCAGCTGAGGTCAACAGACAAAGCAAAGCTATTGAAGCAGTTGCCAAGGTTACCACAACTACAATGCTGAGAGTTTCAAAAGGAAAAGTAATAATAATGGTAAAATAACCTAAACTTTATGATTTGAATTGTTTTTTAAACTCAGTTGATTTCCACATGTAATTTTTGTGAAGTAAATCAGCATCATATCTAGGTACTATTTGCACCTCAATAAAGAAAGAAAAAGAATAATCAGATTTAAATGAAAAAGAAAGCTTGCTTGTCTCGTTTATATTTATATTAGCAGCAACCTGTGCTCCAGAGGTGCTGCTGAGTGATACACGTTTATGGTTAAAATCCTGAATAATGAGATTTAATGAAAGTGAGGGTGTCCGATTCACCCACTGAGTGATGCTGTCATTTGCTGACAATGCAGAAGGAAAACAACACTGCACTCATGGGGCACTTGGATCTTGAAAGACAAATAACAGCTTTAAGGGAACTGTGAAAGGCGTCATGTTATTATTAGGCGCTTGTAATAAATAATGAAAGCTGTCGGGCAAAAAAAAACAGCTAAGCGTGGAATCTTAAACAAGGGGCAAAGAGGTGGGAAGAATGAGGCCGAACATTCGCGTGAGCACGTTCAGCATTACTGTCTGTGGACCAGAAAACGACCAATTACCACTTTCACAGCAGCCATGTATGAAACAGAGCCAACTGCCGTTCATGTCACATGGGTTTAATCATGGAAATGTTTGTCTACAACACTAAACTCCAGATTTTTGTGGCTTAAAAAAAAAAAGAGATGATTGAGAATCCCTTCCATAAGAGCTTTTCAATCATTCTCTTTACACCAGAACAGCCTTGAAGAAGTGATTCAGTTCAACTCTACAACAGAACTCTGCAGGAAAATCTGGCTGAATGAAAAAAGAAGGAAAAAAAAATTATAGGGACATAGGGAATGATCTGAGAACAGATAGAGAGTGAGGGTCTTTCAGTTCATGTCCAAGTGTCTTCTGTAAAGTTTGGGACAATGCACAAATTTCTTTAGCTTCTCTCTGTAGATGTAGGGCGTGTTCTGAGTTAAGGATGTATGAGCGTGTCTGTGTGTCAGTATGTACTGCTTGTCTTTACGAGGGCTGTGAGCCCAGCAGTCTCTCAATAGCGGCGTTGATGTCTCCTCCAGTAGCAATGAGGGCCTGCAGGTTGGCCTCGCGGTTGATGAAGCCCATAGCGTTCAGCTGGTCTAGCTGGGTTTGGAACCGAACCTCAGGGGTTTGGGTCTGAAAGCAAGTTAAGAAAATTTTAAAGTTTAGATTAAAAAGAAGATGAATGTGATTACTTTGCATGTGTCGGTGTGTACCGTTGCACTTCCTCCTCCACCTCCTCCTCCCCCAGCGAACATTTGAAGCATCTGTTGCATCAACTGCTGCTGGGCGGCGTTCGTTCCAGCGCTGCTGGGCGGGGAAGCAGGGTTCTCTGGGGGCACGCCCCCTCCTGTGGGCATGCCAGGAATTCCACCTGGCACCAAACTGCAGAAACAAAAAACACACCAGGGCTAAATGATTTTTCTCCATAAAAATGAACTGTGCATCGTATTTGAGTTTCTGTCTCTGAAAGCTACCTTGGCATGAGGCCTGGGGCTTCTGTCTGCAGCGTCTGTAGACCCTGCTGGATTTGCATTAGAGCTTGCATGGCCCGAGGATTGGTCATGACTGACAGGGCTTCTGGGTTCTGCATCTACAATCCAACAGAAATGGCAAAAAATAAATATCAAAATGAACTACGAGTAAGGAGTATAGTGTACCTTTATTTCTGACAAAATAAAAGTTTCTTTCGGCTGCTCCCTTCTTCAGAGATTGCCATAGCGAGCGAATTTGCAAGAAAGATTTGGCAATTGTTTTATGCCGGATGCCCTTCCTCATGCAACCTGGGCTCAAACATGCAACCTCAGGATTACAAGACCACGGCAATGACCACCACGATACAGCAGCTCTTTATTTCTGACAAAATAAATAAGTAAAAAATATCACGTCTCAAGCAGACCAACTGCTGAAAGGCAAACCTGCTTGTATGCATTTAGAGCAGTTTTCATAACATTTGGTTCGGAAACAGAAATGTATACAGTATGAAGTAAAAAGAAAAACTTTGCCTTATACATGCTTGGGTGTAAGCAACCAGAAAAAAAAAATCTGCAGGAAAGAAAAACAGATTTGTAGTTTCAGTGAACATATGAATGGCTGCACACCAGTTTTTTTATTTTTAATGTACCCTTTATTTATCCAGGTAGTCTCATTGAGCCACGAGAACTCATTTTCAAGAGAGACCTGTTTAGGGAGCAGATGGTGGGGTTAAGAGCCTTGCTCAGGGGCCCAGAGTGGGGTGAATGAGGGTGGAGGGAGGTGTGGGTGTTCCACCTTTTCCACCCACTTTTTGATGTTGACGGTACCGGTAAAGAACATTAGCATCAGGGTACCTGGAAAAAATAAAGCAATACCTCACATTGCAGGTATTTAATACCAGCTGTGTTTTGCAACACTCAGACTAATATTTATCAGAACCAATCAGAACCATTCTTTGTCAGGGCTGGGCTTGGTTTGTTTCTAAAACTGGGTTTTGAACTGGAAACGTATATTGTACCTGCTGCAGAAAGACGGGTAGCTGGGCTCTGAACTGTTCTTGCAGCTGTGGGTTTCCAGCAAACAGCGGATTATTCATCATTACCTGTTTGAGAAAAGAAAACACATGTTAATCCTTCAGACCACCATCAGAGTATGATGCTTACTCAGTGCTATTTATAGTACATTTACCTTCACACAATTTTTAAACTATTGCTGAACTACAAAAGAATGTGATTCTGAAAAATGTACGACTTTAAGCCCTTTAGTAAACTAGTTCTGTCTTGGTATACAGTCAAGTTGTTTATTTAAAGCTGGTAAAACAAAAACGTGTTCAATTTCTTACAAATTAATGAAAATGTGGGCTTAAATAGTCCTGGCAATAAAAACCCAATACAAACTAAGAGATCAATATATTAGCTCAGTGTGCTGAACAAACTAAATACCAAGTACTAGACTACAGTTTTAATCTTTACCTGTGAAGCTAACTCCGGGTTTTGAGCCAATGACTGCATCATACTGCGCATGTATGGAGCAGAGATCATGTTTTGCATCAGCTGAGGGTTTTCTGATATCTGCTGCAATAGACTCTGCATGCCAGGGCTGTTGAACATCCCTACAAAGCACACAAACAAAAAACATTCATACAAATTTATTTTGAAGCTCAATTATGTGCTAACATATGCTAAATCAGTGAGCTCACTCTGTCTTACCATTTCCTAGACTCCCAGGATTAACACCCAGAGGGTTGGACACACTGGGGTTGGTGCCCCCACTGGTACTAGTGCTACCTGTGGTGGTCCCTCCACTCTCAGTGGCACTAGAAGAATTTGGTGGTCCCCATGGGTTGGGCAAGGGCTCTCTGTTCTCTGTCCGTGACGGCTGGGCACCGGACTCAGAATTCCCACCCAAAGCGGAGAATGGGTTGTTACCAAACTACAAGGAAAGAGTTGAGATGCATTTTGAACCACAAAAACATAAAAATAAAGTAAAACATGCTTCAAATACAGCCACAACACAGCTCACACAATTAATGAAAACAAATCCAGATACCTGTTCCCTGGCAGCACTAAACATGGGTTCCTGGATATCTGTGTACATCCTTCGCAAGGCATTGTAACCACCTGGGATGCTCTCCAAGTTACTCAGAGCCCGGTCCTGGTTTCGCATCATTTCCTGCATCATAGCTGGGTTCCTGGCAAGCTCCATAGTCTTGGAGGCAAGATACAGAAAAGTGAGGAAGTGTGTCTGTTTAGCTTTATCTTAAATCAACTAAGCTAAATGAATAAATAGGAAAACAGAAGAAAGCACTTCGTCTCGTCAGGATTTGCTTTACCTGTCGCATGAGCTCAGGGTTATTAAGCATATGAGAGATCTCAGGGTTGCGCTCCATCAACTGTTGCATCTGTGGATTGGCCAAGATCATCTGTCGCATCAGGTCTGGGTTGGACATCATGTTCTGCACCAGTGGGTTCTCCATAATCTGAGAAAGCATCTCTGGGTTGGACATGAGCTGTCTCTGCATCTGCTGCTGCAGTTCCATGAAGTTAGCCGAGCCCATGCCCAGACCAGCTAGACTAGACAGATCTCCGAAGCCCGCTGATGTAAGATAAATAGGTAAACAGTGGTTAAAGGAACAATCTTTTTTTTTTGTACCAATAGAAGGGTTTTGAATTCCAACAATCATACACAGGTGAACTCACATAGTATATTGGGCGTCTGTGTGGGTGGTGGGGCAGCGCCAGAAGAGCCTGTTGTAGAGGTCGTGTTGGTGGCTGGACTAGAGGTGGAACTACCACCTGCCTGAGTGGAGGCTGAGCTAGACGCTGAGGTGCTGCTGCCATCTCCCGCCCTATAGAGAGGATGTGCATGAAGATAAATACAGCAAAAATTGCAGAAAGACGCATTGTAAAACCAAAGACTTTTTGTTAAAGACATGCTAGAAGATGTTCTACTTTGTATAAAACTGTAACCTTACTTGTGTGCTGTTTTTATGACAAGATGAACTGTCAGGCCATCTTTGATGCCATGTTGGCTGAGGCTGTCACCATCCTTCAGGATCTTCCCAGCAAAAATCAGAACCAGCTGGTCCTGCTTGGCTTTGAACCTCTTTGATATCTCCTCTTTAAACTATGAAACACAAAATAAATGACAATGAGAAATAGACCGATGGCCCAAAGAACCTATAAATCTAAAATGTGAAATGATGGATAATGTTAATTCAGCAAATTGTCTTGAGTAAATTTAGCTAAACGGCCTTACTATTTATTATTTTGACATATTAAAATATTGGAAAATAAAGAAAGAACAGAAAACATGAGTTTCTAGAAAAACAAAAAAGGAAATAACATTTGTTTTCCACACATTTAAATGGTGACTACTGAAATAAAGACAAGCATGACTCAACATTCACTTCATTATTTAACTCTTTCCATCAGCTTTACCTACATTTTTTAATGGTCATCATCAAAACAATTTAGCTACAGTGGTGTCTGAAGCGTGCTCCTTCATTTGCATCTGTTGTTTATGCAATACAGTGCCACATCGTTAAACTTTATAATAATTAATATATAATATGTTGTCTTAAACTTTTGTTTCTTCAAGCTGCTTGTTACTAAATTGACACATTTATGTAAACTGAAAGAAACGTGTACATACACTAATAATACAATTATTGACCAAGACTTAGTGACATCTAGTGGTGAAAATGCAAATTGCTACCAATTGAAAATAATGCCTTAGATCCCGTCAGAAAAATATTAATTAATGAATACAAGACACACAATCTAACAAGTGTTGTATTATTTGTGCTGTACTTACTACATAATAAAGTACTAAAGAATGAATGACTTATCTAATTAGCAGTATTTTTGGAACAATCAGCAAGTTTACAAATAGGCTTTGGCTCAATGGGCAATCTGTAGGGTTGAGCAGTTTTAATAATTTTATTAATAATGCTCAGGTAAACTCAGCTGACTTTTTGTAACTGCCTGTAAGATTTATTTGGCCTAGAAACCACAACCTTAAGGTAGATTAAAATCTGTCCCCACCCAGTTACTGTAAAGTACAAAAACAACTTCATTTTGAAGTTTTACATACCATAATGAAATATTATTAATAATAAAAATAAAAAGATTGTACTACCAAAACCGAAATGATTTCTTTATTGTGTATTATTTGCGTCGTTCCTTCAGCTAAATAAAGTTTGTAGCAATTTACTTATGCACGAGTCTCTCAATGTCCCACCACAGCTACAATCTGGACTTTGACTGGGCCACTGAATTATCATTTTAACCCTTTCTTTTGGGTAAGTCTGTTGTAGATTTGTTGCTGTGTTTGGGTTCATTGTCCTGTTGTATGACCCACTCTAGCCCACCCATACTTGTCTGACAAACAGCTCCACATTTGACTGTTAAACACTTTGGTACACACATTAGTTTGATAGGACTGCAAAAAGTTTAGGTTCTCTGGCTGCAACGCTTGACAGTTGGTAATAGGTGTTTTTTTGATTTTATGCTTTGTGTGTGTGATGTTGTTTTGTCTGCTCAGAAGTCTTGTGGTTTGTTCACATGCAACTATACAAACCAAATGTTGCCTTGATCCTTGTTCCTTATTTAAAGAGTGCTTAATGTTTTTGTTTGTTTTTACACATTGCTTTTTAGTCGACTTAGTTTAAGTATACCATGACATTATAGCGTGTATTTCTTTAAATGTGACATATGCGAACTGTAAGTTTACAAAAGAGTGGACCTAGCTTGTACCTTGACTGTATGTTTAAAACTGTTGTCTGGGAATCTACTGAACTTTTCAACCAGTTTACCAGTGTTTAGTTGGTCATTTTTAAACGCACAATAAATTCAGTCACCGTATAAAAACATATTTAGTAACATGTTTTATCTACTATTTATAACGATCAATATGAATGTACATTTCATGACGTAGTTGTCAGGTGAAACAGTGATTAAGTTAGCAGTGTCGCCTCACAACAGGTCTCTGGTTCGAATCTCAGCTGCGGCTTGTCTGTTTGCAGTTTATTTGTTTTCCTCTGTAGACACAAAATCTACCTAGGTTCCTCCCAGAATCCAAAAACATACATGCTATATTAACCACTGATTCTAAAGTATATCTTTCTGTGTTGCTCCTTTGATGGAATGATTATTTGTAAAATATTACACTGATTGGTCACATAATAAAATCATAGGTACCAGTAAGTTCGACAGAAAACAAATAATGTACATATAATAAATTCCTAATAATTATTTTAAAAGCACAAACAAAACTGAAAAAAACCCTCTCGTTTGACTGTGGTTACAGATAGGATGATGTCTCGTCACCAAGACAACAGCAGCACTGGGAATGCCTGAAATCCCAAGGAGCCTGAATGACTCAGTACCAATGAGAATGTTCTAGAGTGAAAGCAACATTGGATTTCTTTAAAAGAACTTAAGTTAAAATAAGAAGTCAAAATGTTTTAGTATACAAAACAATCCACAAACAGTTCCAAGATTTTATCCGCTGCTTGTTGAGCACAGCAGGCTCCGTCAGCTGACACTTGTTTGGCTATAGTAGATCTCCAATGGCTGGTCCAAACAGCAAGCTAAGTAAGCTAAAAGCTAACAGAAATGGCTAGCCGGTTAGCGGTATCAAATCTTAGCGCGGTCGTATCTTTAATTTGGATGCTAATAACGTTGACATTCCCGACTATTTGGTAATCTAAGCAACAGTACTTCCATTTCGCGCAACTGCTTTAACTACAAGAACCCCGAGTTAGCCGGTACGAGTGGTGGCATTATGCTAACGAGTTAGCTTGGTAGCTGAAGTTGTGGGTATGACGCGAGAAGGCGGCGATGAGCAGCGTCGACAAACCTGAGTGACAGAGGCATCTTCTGCGATGGCGATTTCTTCCTTGTCTTTAGGAGTTTTCACTGTGACCTTAATAATCGTCCCTTCTGATTCTTCAGGTTTATTATTATTGTTGTTGTTAACAGGATCTGCGGCGCCTTGTTCAGCCATCTTTACTCCGCCGATGGAACAGCTCGGTCTAAACGTTTGCTTCCGGGTCAAACGAGGTCAACTTCTTTTTTCCGGTCCTAGATGTTTCCGTTGGAGTTTTACTGTCGATAGATTCAACAAAAATCTGTTTGGTAAAATAAATAATAATAGTTCTCTGCAAAAATGTCAAAGAATTCAAGTCACTTGTAAACATGAGCACAAGTGGCGGATGAATACGCAAAAATATATGATTTAATCAATCATTAATTAAATATTTAAATTAGAACTCGTCATCAGTGTGTGTGTGTGTGTGTGGGGGGGGGGGGGGATACAGTACATAGTATTACCACTTGGAAATGAATTTATGACGTTAAACATCAGTATTCTGAATTTTGAGTCACTGGCTGAGAATTTATTTACATATATGTTTACAAGTTTAATTGAACACCATGTTTAAATGGGATGTAAGAGCAAACATGATATGTTTTGTCTTTCGTCTACAGTAAAACCTCCTAAATTGTATTTATTTATTTATGTTTGTTTGTTTATGAAAGCCTCAAGTTACTCCCAGTGGTCACAGTTCTATGTAATTTGCTGGACTTACCTTTTACTTCTTTCTGCTTTTCCCTCTTCAGAGGTCACCACAGCGAGTCATCCTCCTCCATTTCACTCTGTCCTCACTCCAACTACCTCCATGTCCTCTCTAACTGCATCCAGATATCTCCTCTTTGTCTTTTTCCTGGCAGCTGCATTTATAACATCCTTCTACCAATATACCCACTGTCTCTCCTCTGGACATGTCCAAACCATCTCAGTCTGGTCTCTCTAACTTTATCTCCCAGTTGTTCAACCTGTGCTGTACCTCTGATGATCTCATTCCTAATCGTATCCATCCTTGTCACTCCTGAGGAGAACCTCAACATCTTCATTTCTGCCACTTTCAGTTCTTTCTCCTTTTTGTCCATGTCTCTGTCTCCAGACCATACAACATAGCTGGTCTCATCACTGACTTGTAAACTTTTCCTTTGACCTTTGCTGCCAACCTTTGGTCACAAATCACTCCTGAAACTTTTCTCCATCCACTCCATCCTGCCTGGATTTTTCATTTCATCTCTTTACCACACTCTCCATTTCCCTGGACAGTGGACCCCAGGTACTTGAAGTCCTGCACCTTTGTAACCTCTGCTTCTTGTAGCCTCACTGTTCCACCGGCCTCCCTCTCATTCACACACGTACTCTGTTGTACTACGGCTGACTCTCATTCCTCTTCATTCAATTTGCTGGATTTATAATAATAACCTTAACTCTAAAAGCTAAAGACAACATTTATAAGAATCTTTATGCAAGAATAATGCTTGTTTGTAAATTTTGCCCCAAATCTGTGAACACTGATGTATTTTAATAATTTTCCCCTCAATAGTTTATTAGAGTTATTCTTTCTCTCTTTTTCTGTTCTTTCTTTTTCTAATTCGGATGTTGCTGAAGCTCATCCCAGTTGTCATCAAATGAGAAGGTTAAGAGTACACACATGGCAAATCACCATATCAGAGAAAAGTAATTAGAATCATATAAATACAAATCACGGTCAATTTATTTTATTTTAGTTACGTGTGTTGTAGCGTTTGTGCGTTGAATGTTAATGTTCACACTGCTTCGTGTTTTATTTGTGAAACAATGTATATCAACAAATTGAAAGATTCTGTTGATTAGTTGTCCGATTAAAATGAACAAAACATGCACAAACAGTAAAAAATGTTATGTTCTTCATTTGGACTTAGAAGTTTTAAGACAGCTTTATTTGATCATTTTATGGTCAAGGTTAAAATAAAGGGCTAGAAAGTCTGCAAAAAGCATATACTGTTTCTAATATTTGTCTTATTTTCATACATCAGTTAACTAAAAATGATTTGTTTTAGTGTGTTGAGATCAAAACATTCCTGTATTTGACTCTGTACTGTAGGGCTCTCCCTCTTTATGTGACTCCCCAGTGTGACAGCACTGAAAGAAAAGTGTTTATTACAGCAGGTTGCATTGACACAGTTGTCCTGCATACCTCTGCACATCCCCAGTTCTAGAGTACACCATTTACAAACAAACAAAACCCACTCCTAAAATGATACATGCATGAACCACCACACCATTAAGCCCTCCCCTGACCCCCACGCACACACGTACAGGTTACACACACAGGTCTCATTCAAGTGCAGGCCAGTGGAAGCAAAGGATTTTGCTTTCATCAACAAAAAAAGACGAGGGGCAACCTTTTGCTCGTAGTATTGTCTGTGATGACCCCCCTCCATCCCAAATTGAGCAACAGCCCTCTCTGTTTTTCTATCTTTGCCTGTGGGAGGTGGGCAGTAGAGACGGTGCATTTCCAGAAACAAGGTAAGTTTTCCTGCTCTGATACATCACTGATGAGGCAGCAGCCACCTCAGTCAGATTTGACCTCCTTACGCATGAGCTCTGCAGGAGGATCTCTACAAACTGCAGCATCGCAAAAACACATTTTCATCAGGTTTGGTTTAGTAATCACCTGTTAACGATGTCTCCAGTGAAGAAAAGGTAAACACGTTTCTTTCATTATTATAGAAATTTTAGCAGCTTCCTTCTTTTATGGAAGACAATCAGCTACAAAATCTGATTGTCTCAGAACAAAACTATTACTTTTAATTAGGGATGCTCCAATCAGGTTGTTTTTCTGGTGATAATGACACCAATCACGCATGTTGCCGATCACCAATACCGATCACCAATACCAATCACATGGATTGGCTGTAAATTTTTTTGTTTGTTTAAGATGAGTGCTACTTGCTACGTGATCTGGAAAATAAGAGGCATATAATCACCTTAATTTGGAAAAAAAAAACATATATTTATTTACTTTTTCAAAAAATATGTTAAAAAAAACTTACAGGTACAATACAGCAGCGATTCATTGACAAGGACAACTGAAAACCATTTAAATGTATCTGCTATCAGTAACATAATCTTTAACAGACTGAAAACATTAAGGCTCTCAATAGGCTAAACAGTGCAGAAAGTCAAATAAATCTCAAAACATTGTTTATAAAGATAGAACTAT